TGTCCTTGAAACTATTGTGAACCATCCAGAGAGTTTTACTGGCTTGCAACAATAAAGTATGTATACAAAACTTCAACCAACACTGCCACATCTATTTTTTCAACTGGCTCCTGGTATCCCTACATTCATTTTCCAATTTTCATCATCATGCATGGTGGCCGAAACAGCTCTCATGATCCTCCTCCTCTACAGTTTATCCTATAAACAACACAGGGATGCTCTTTCTGGGGAACAAGGCACCTGTCCTGAACAAATTACCTCCATCAGTTCTTTGAATGATCAGAAGTTCTGCAGTCACACCAAACAGAAAGTAAAAGAGGCTCCTCAGGATGTTCATCTTGTCCTTTCTTGCCCTTCCCTTCCCTACCCTGCCCTGACACTTGCTATGCTGTGGTGGTCTGGGTTCCCTTCTCTGCACAGAAAAGTCCACCATTTCCACAAAGCAAACAATTAACTACTACAGAAATTGGTAGAGATTTCATGTTTGTATGATTCTGATGTTCCTCCTAACGACAAAACAATGTAAACTACCAAAGTCTTCTTTATTTCATTAGATCAGTTATGGCTTGGTCAACTCTGTTTTGGAGGATCACATGCAGTTCCCATTCATCTACCAGATGGCCGCAGAGGAAGAAAACCAATACTTGGGCATCATCCAACTGGTTGTGAGTTTTGGTTGGACATGGATCGGTCTCTTTGCCCCAGACATTGAAAATGGAGAAATGTTTGTGAGGTCAGTGATCTCACTGATGATCAGTCATGGAATCTGCATTGCCTTCACAAAAACAATACAATGAAAAAACATAGTCAGAATGACTCAGAATAAGCTCTTTGTTGAGTGGGGAGAAGTGAATGTAGCTGTTTTCTATGCAGACTCTCACTATGGCTGCGGTCCAATTTTCAAGATGTAAGAGATACTTGGAAGGGAACAAATTGGAGGAAAGGTTTGGATCACAATGATTGTGTGAGACATTAACATTTAATTAACTTTGCATCCTGATCCCTTTCAGATTTTCCATGGTTCTTTGTCATTCATCATAAAGAACCCCCAAAAGAAAATGACTTGACAATTACAATCCATTTTCTTATTCTATGTTATGGTTTTGGCAGAAAGATTTTCACTGTATCTATTCAAAGCTCATGATAGGCCCATCTCTGGAAATCATTCTGTTACTCCTCAACAAAGAGTGGTCTCCAGATACCTGCAAAGAGCAAGCTTCACGGTTCTGGTGGCTTGAAAGCTTCTCCTCCCCTCTATTTTATCTGCACAAAAACAGCACTGAGAAGTTGCATCTGTCCTCAAATCACCCAGGGAGTTACAAGGCTGAGTGGGGACTAGGATCAACATCTTCTGGGCTCCAGTCTGGTACTGGGCCCGATGGCAAGTTGATGGAAAAATTACGAAACAAACAACTTTAGCAAAATAACTGATATTTTCAGAAGAGGTTTCGGTAAGAATTGTTATTCCAGTTTTTAATAGCAAGAATGTACAGAGGCCTCTAGACCCCACAATGGGGCAGTTGCAAATGAAATCCAGCAGATCAGCTTCCCTGTACTGTGTTGGGCTTTGGCCAGTTGAGTATCATCAATTCATGGAACACAAACTGAGTGTTTGGTTCGGGGTGTCAGGAGATCTCTCCTGTCCGCCAGAGATGAATTTCCTTCTTCTTGTCCCTGAGAGCCCCTGTAAGCAAAACGTGCATCTCCCCTCAGAGAAGATTTGGCTCTTTCGCTGCCAGGCCACACATGATTCTCCCCCAACATCTCACACATCCCCATCTTCAGTACATATGAAAAGAACACAGGCTGTTCTGCATGTTCCACTGATGGTGGCAATGCTGAACTCGCTTTCCTTCCTTCCAGATGCAGAGCATTGCAGAAGGTGCCCCAAAGATCAGCACCCAAACAAGATTGGGACAGATGCATCCCCAAGGAGATAACCTTCCTCTCCTATGAAGAACTTTTGGGTATCCTTCTGGGGTTTTTTGCCCTCATCTCTTTTTTGACCACAGGGTTTGGGTTAGGAAACTTCACCAAATTTCTAGAAACACCAATAGTCATGGCCCACAACCGGTCCCTCTCCTATGTCCTCCTGGTCTCCCTTCTACTTTTCTTTTTGTCCTCCTTCCTGTTCATTGGGCAGCCAAGCCAAGCAAATTGCCTACTCTGCCAAACCACCTTTAGCATCATCTTTGCCTTGTCTTCTGCACTGGCCAAGACCTTCACTGTGGTCCTGGCCTTCCTAGCCACCAAGCCTGGGAACAGAGTGAAGAGACAGCTTGATAAAAGAATTGCATGCTCCATTTTAATTTCCCGTGCTAGTGTCCAGGTTGTCATATGTAAAATCTGGCTGGGCATGGCTCCACTTTTTCCTGATGCTGACTTGAATTCATCGCCTGAAGAGATAATTTTGCAATGCAGTGAAGGTTCTGTGGCATACAGCCCTCTGCTACAATGGTGTCCCGGCAGCCATCTGCTTCAAGGTGGCTTTCCTCACCGGGAAGCTTCCAGGGCCTACAACAAAGCCAAGCTTTGGCATGCTAGTCTTCTGCAGCATCTGGGTGTCCTTCGTGCCCTCCTACTTGAGCACCAAGGGCAAGTCCATGGTAGCTGTGCAGGTCTTTTCCATCCTGGCCACCAGTTCAGGGTTACTTGGCTGCATCTTTTTTCCCAAGTTGTACATCCTTGTCCTGAGGCCTGACCTGAATACAAAACAGCATCCCACAGTCGCAAGTAAGGATGGCATCTGATTGGTGTTTCAGATGCTGAATTATTCCACCCACAGCTCCATTTGGATAGGAATCACATTTTATGTTTGAGATGAAAGAAATACAGTAGCTGTCAGATCTGGGGCATGTTTCTCTGGGAGGATACATTTATTTTTTCATATCCCTTTTATTTTTTTCCTTTCAGTGATCTCAAGGCAGCTTATGCATTCCTCCTCTCCCTCCTCTCAATTCAATACTTAGTAGTAGGGCTCATATAAACCTTACTGGAGCTTTGAAAATCGTCATTTTCTGCTTGGCCAATGCAGGCTGGGCTGAGAGGAAATCTCCACGACCTCACAGACCCCCTTTTGTACAATAGGCAACCTCCTTTGGAATCCACTCCAGATGCTCAAATTGTAGGTAAGGGGACCCAAACCCATTTGCTGATCAGCCTTTTTTGACATCATTTGTAGCTGCTCAGAGGGCATGAACCTCCCTGAGGGTGAACACAAGACCATTGGGGCCTTAGCAGTTTGGAAACAGTTCTTCCCAGAGAAATTGTTCCTTGGTGGATGTTAGTAGTGAACCACCTTTCTTTAACATATGCTTAGCACTGTTAAACCTGTCAGGGTCTAATAAAAGATGTATGAGAAAACGATGCAGTCTTTAAACAGAATAGGAAAAAAGATGTACTGGCATGCCAGTACAGGTGCCACTACTCCTTTGGGTGACTGGAGCATGTGAAGTGTTTGGGTGCACTGGAATTGACCACAGTGGTTGCCTCATGCAATGACTCAGTGCTACCAAATGCCACAGTTACCAAAGAAAATATTCACAGATCAGATGAACTCACTGCTGCTCCTCTCCTGTTGTGCAACTGGTTGTTTCTAGGGATGTATGAGAACTTGAGTGGATGCCATTGGGGTAGCAGTGTGCTGAATAGCTTGGCTTGGCCCCCTGAATTCCATGGCTCCCACTTTGTAGTGCCCTGACTCTGAATGCCTGCCCAGTGTTTGTGGACTGATCCCTGTTGTAACCCCCCTCTTAATCGAACATGCAGCTAGGGCATGGCTCATCACGGGTAAGAAGCATGATCAGAGTGTCCTGTTCGCGTAAGAACAAGAACCCCAATGAATGTGCACGCTACGCAAGGCTGACCACAAAGCAGCCTTTGTTGCTACACTCCAGCATAACGTTACGCCCTTGTACCCTCACTTGCTTGCTTTAGCCTAAAAAATGTGTGCGAATGTAGCTCAGTGGATTTCCCCTATTGTTCGCTGTTATTCAAGCACCTGCATAGCCGTCCGTGTAAAAGAGTATAAAAATCCTGCCTTCAATCTTCTCAGGACGGCACTCTAACGAGTGATGGTCCCTGCAGGCAGGTAAATAAACTCTTTCTCTCTAGAATTCCAACTGGTCTCTGGTCTCATCCGTAAAACCACGGCATACAATAATCCCCAGAAAGGAAGTCCAACATTACCATTGCCTGAGCAGTATCCCCCTTCATTCCATCCCCCTGTTAGACAAGCTTTCATCTGTGTGTGCAGATTTTGTCTAATCTAGGTTCACTGAGGGGGGAATCTGCAGAGGGCCACATGTTGACCCCAGCTGGGATATCAAGATGTTTCCGATCTGGGTTCCTCTGCAGGTGGGTCTCTGAAAGAGGTCTAGCCAAGCTCCCATTTACCACACCCTCTGATGTGAAAGTTGCAGCCTCATCAAAGAGAAATAACAGCATGCTTGTTTCCCACTGTGTGCTGTGCCTTGAGACACATAATGGTCCAGTAACAGAGAGGCTGTTTCACTCTTGTGGGATGATCAACAACAGAGTAATTATTGTGGATTCTGGGCAATGCTCTAGAGGCCTCCTTGAGATTTCTCTTGAGACAAATAAGTCACATTACAAAATCAAGGACAATGTCAGGGATAGTGTGATTTTTGCCTGAGAAACTGGCTCTGTGCAACACCTGCTGTGCACCTGAAGGCCCGGGGTGAGGTTCAGAGCAGTCAGAGAAATGCAGGGACTGTGCCAATGTGAAGGTTAGAAAAGCCCCTTTGACTCAGATGTGAGTGCATCTGTGAGACTGCAAAATCAGTTGTCCGGTTGAGCTGGGTGTGTGGGTGAGAAGAGCAGGAACATAGGACATGTGGAAACCAAGGCAAGTTATCCCAGTGTCAGTGCTCCTGCTGCTTTTGCTCCTTCCACATTCAGTTTCTGAGATGCTGATGACAAATTGTCCTGGAGATATGTTTAGAGAAGCAATATATAACTATTATCTGGCAGGAGACTACATGATCAGTGGAGTAATCTCTTCACGATTTTTTGAGCATCAGGAACCCTATGTCTTTTATGAGTCACCAGCCAAGCGGAGGGAGAGGTAAGTCATGATGCTTAAATGCGTCCCTTCCTGCCACTCTATTTGTGCCTCTCTCTGGGAGACAGTCCATAGTTCTGGTCCCTGCAGTCAACCCCTTGGTATTTCTGCTCCACAATTTGTCCCTTTTGTGGTTTCTGATGGAAAATTAGGAGTATTAAGAACAGCAGGCTTACATCTGGCTGACCACTGCTTGCATGATTTCAGCCTTTGGAAGAAACATCTGCTTGCTTTAATCTGCAAGGCAGGATTCAGGCAGGAGCCAAGGGGGCTTTTCCTTGGAGTTGCCCCAATAACTGCACCCATCCTCCTTCTGCAGGATTGTGGTCCACCACCAGCTGGGACTTATCTACCCTTCAGCATCCCAAGAAGACATAAATATAAGGAGAACCATGATGTACTGGACCAGTGGTCCATCTGGAGCAGCATTTGTTGTACACAGTAGCCAACAGGGTGCTAGTGGGAAGGAGAGTAAAAAAACCTCACCACTTGCAGCTGCAGCAAGGGAAGCACATATGATCCTTCCTTGGATAGGGATGTGTGAGCAATCCATTGCGGTGGAAATCTTTTACATTCCTTGGGCTTGGCTCCCTGCACTTCAACTAGCTTTGTTCCTGGTTCATGCACCCACCATTTGTGAGAAGCTCTCCAGGAAGTGAGTCACACACACACACATTCAAAGATTTCTTCTCATGTCAGCAGAGTTTGAAAGAGCAGGCTGAGCAGAAGAGGAAACCTGCAAATGCTCAGAGGAGGAATTCAGAGAAGGTTCATCTCAATCTCAGCCTTTGATATTAGAGGCAACATAGAGCCATCAGAAAAGGCCTTCTGTTCCAGGAATGTATCCTGTTAAAGTAATCACAGTTAGTGGCCCTGACTAGGGTTGATATGAACCCTTTTGGAATCTACCTTTCTGGAATCTGTGGACTTCTCAGGCTTGGCTTTGCAGTGCAAAGGACTCTGACTCAAAAGGAAATCCATCCACTGCACTTCCCAAACCACTGCTGCCAATGTCAGAGGTGGGAATGGAAGAATGGCACTGATTGTGCAGCATGTGGGACTGTATTCCTGTGGAACATCCTGCAAACGCTGGATGTGCTCACCAAGAACATGGTCGCTGGGCTGATGAGAAGAGATATTGAATTCCTGGAGCCAAGACCAGGAAATCCAACAAATCCCTAGCCATGGCTGCACCTGCAGCGAGTGCATGTCATCATTTAGGTGCATGCTGTGTGAAAAAATCCTTCTCTTTATGTATCCAGAATCTCCCCTGAATCCTCTTCAAAAATTATTCCTGATTCTGTAATTCTTGCATTGCAGTTTCCTAACTCTGAGGTACTGGCACGTGTTGTCCTTCTTGCTTTCCATCCGTGAGATCAACCAGAATCCCAGGATCCTACCCAATATCAGCTTGGGCTACGACATCTATGAGAGCCATTTTGATGGGAGAACCACTTCTTATGCTATGTTAGGCCTGCCTGCTAGTGGGAAAAGCTACCTTCCAAACTTCAATTGTGGGAAGAAGAAGAAGAACCTGCTGGCCATTCTTGAAGGAAGTGAATCAGTTGTCTCCACTCTTATTTCAGCCATGTCAGGCATCTACAAGATTCCTCAGGTATGTCCTGCGAGAGGAAGAGTGGCTGCCTCCACCCACATGCAGGACAGCTATACTTGCAGCATTTTGGCTGATCATGAAGGGATTCCTTTTTTTTTTTTTTTTTTTGGAAATATAGACAAATCCAGTTGTATCTCTCACTGGGATTTTCCTTCTGGGGAACAGGGCAACTCTCCAATGAGAATTACTTCCACCGGCCTAGTGATTAGAAAAAAGGGAAAAATCACTAGCCACTGGAAAGTGAAAAGGAGAAGAGCCACCTTGAGATGATCATCTAGTCTTGACATTTCCAGTCCTGCTTTGCACTAGTTTGGCTGGAGTGTGGTTGGGTGAGTTCTTTTCACTTAGCAGAGAAGGACCCTACTTTCCCCAAGCAATTATTGAATTGCTACTGTAGAGATGATCCTTGAGATGTTTTGGCCCTCTCTTCTTCCTCAGCTTCCCCTTCCTTGTGATGGACCTTTGCTTAGACATTTCATGTTCATATGGTTCTGATGTTCATTGTAAAGACAAAAGGGTGCAAACCACCTTCCTCTCTTTGATAGATCAGTTATGGCTTGGTTAACCCTGTTCTGGAGGATCAAACACAGTTCCCATTCTTATACCAGTTGGCCCCAAAGAAGGAAAACCAATACTTGGCCATTGTTCAATTGGTTGCAAGATTTGGCTGGACGTGGATTGGTCTCTTTGCCCCAGACACTGAAAATGGAGAAACGTTTGTGAGGTCGGTGATTCCGTTGATGATCAGTCATGGAATCTGCATTGCCTTCACAAAAAGGCTACCACGAAAAAATGTACGCAAAATGACTCAAAATGAGGTTTCTGTTGCATGGGGACAAGTGAATGTCGCTGTTTTCTATGCAGACTCTTTCTATGGCTGTGCTCCAATTCTCAAAATGCAGAGAACACACGGAGGGGAACAAATTGGAAGAGTGGCTTGGATCACCATTGGTGTGACAAACATTAATTGGCACTTAATGTTTGAACCCAATATCCTTCAGTTTCTCCATGGTTCTTTGTCCTTCATCACGAAGAGCCCCCAGAAGACAAGACTTGTACACTACAAATCAGCTTCTCCAGCTAATGTATGGTTTTGGGAGAATGCTTTCCATTGTTTCTACTTAAAGCATGCCTTTTCCATGAGAAATTGGTTGAGCTACAGACAGAAGGAGATTCTGGAAATGCTCCCCCAGGAGGAGCTGGAAAGAGTATTTTCTCAAGACAGCTTCTGCACTTACAACAGTATCCAAATGGTAACCCATGCCTTAAAAGCTGCATTGTCATCCCAATCCAAGTGGAGAATGATGGCTGGAAGAGAAGACAAACCACAAATGCAGAGGTTGCAATCCTGGCAGGTATTCCCTTTTCCTGTTCTGGTTTAACAGCAAATGACAAAAGATTCAGGTTTCAGTTTAGCAAACATGTGTTCCAGGACATCATCATGCCTATTGCATGGGAGTGCAGAAGAGGAAATTGAGCCTATTCTCCTGCCTTTGCTTTACCCTCAAAATAGTACATGGGCTTGCATTCTAAAATGTCTTTGAAGCAATTGCACTTTCCTCTGAGCCACTCAGGCACACACAGGCCTGTTTCCTGAAAATACTTTCAGGATAGTTCTTGTTTGTATGTTCATACAGTTAACTTGATACTGGTCTTATGAGAGAGACCGTTTAGAAGTCCATCACTTCTGCTGGCCCCATCTATTTCTCTGATGTCCACCTGATAGGTGGGAAAAGTGCTTGCAGGGAGGGCTCTGAACTATGACTTCTACATGATTTTCCATAGAGCCGAAGACCAAAAGAACATACGTGTGCTGCTCCAGAGTGTGACCAACCCACCTTTACACAAGGCAATGAAATCTCCTACACCAGGGGTGCTACCATTATTAAAGGAACTAGTTCTACTAGATTCAATGTATTTCAATATCGAGCACCTAGTTGCTGGTAGCTCCTTTTTGGCTCAGTTTATAAGAAGGCATTGCAAGGTCATTTGCAGGCAGTCTCAAGGATTGCCCATGTTCTAGAGGATGCTGGTCTTGTTCTGGTCCTCGAATAGATGACCTTAACCCTATCTCCCTTAACGACTTGGGACCTGGTTACCTAAAGGAGCGCTTACGTCCATATATGCCCTCCTGCCCCTTGAGATCGGTGGCAGAGGCCCTTTTCTGGGAGCCCTCTGTGAAAGATATTAGGAGGGTGAGTACCCGGAGGAGGGCTTTCTCTGCGGTGGCACCCAACTTATGGAACGTGCTCCCCAGAGAGGTCCTCCTGGCGCCGTCGTTATTTGCTTTTCGACGCCAGGCCAAGACCTTTTTATTTAAACATCATTTTAATTGTTATTCTTTTAATTGATTTAATAATTTGTTGCCAGGATGTCTCCAATATTTTCTGTAATTCTATTAATTATATTTATTTATGGTTTGGAAGCTGCCCCGAGGCTTATGCGAATGGGGTGGCATATAAGTTCTCCAAATAAATAAATCTTTAATCCTTGACTTTTTCAACAGATGGGTGACACTCATACAGAAAATTAGGTGTGCTTGACCCACTTCTGTCTACTTGTTGTATCATTGCACTAGGATACACTCATCCCTGGTATCCTTTAGTGATAGCTTCAGTTCTGGGATTTTGGAGGTAACACATTTCAGGGGTTGTGTTCCAACTTGCACCACTCCTTTTAGAAAGTATGTAGAGAATCATGATTCTGCATGCTTGATGAAAGTTTCAGAGAAGACATTTTCCCACCTCTTTCAGACAGTTCATGAAGCTACATGTGGAATTTCAAGGATCTTTCTGCTGTAGTGACATTGGTTTTTCATGGTTATTCCTTGGTGTCTGAGGAATTTGGGCTTTTCTTGCTGGGAAGTCTGCTGATTGCCACTTCATAGGGTTTCTGCTGGAGCAGAGGCCCATCTTCACAGGAGTTCAGTGACATGTGACTTGGCGAGCTATTCCCCTTCCAACAAAATAGAGTCATATAACCTCAGGATCATAGAATGGTAGAGTTAGCAGGGGGCATAAAGGCCATTGGGTCCAACCCCCTGCTGTTGTAGGAGAACAAGTTACACCATCCCATTCAGATGGTTGTCATTTCACCTTAAATGTCTCTAGTGTGGGAGACCCCACAACCTCTCTAGACTACTGTTTCCACTGTTATATTGATCTGACAGTGAGGAAGCTATTTCTGATATCTAGCCTGACCCTGGATTGTCATAACTTGAATTGTTTATTCTATGTCCTGCACACTTGTATCAGGAAGAAGAGATCCTGACCTTCTTTTTTGTGACAACCTTTGAGGTACTTACACAGTGATACCATGTCCCCCCCCCCTCAGTCTTCTCTTTCCATGATTGAGCACGCTTAGTTTTCTCAGTCTCTCCTCATAGGAGTTTTTCCAAACCATGGATCATATGTGTTGCCCTCCTCTGGACTCTTTGCCATTCTTCTGCAAATTAATACTGCATTATGTTGCAATAGCACTGGCCATTGGGCACTTGTTATCTGTTCTCCAGCTTATGTCGTACTATGAATGAAGACCCTCCACAATGTGCTGTCCATGACAGCTCTGTTCAGCTCTTCTGAGTTCATGGCTGTGGCTTCCTTTAAAGATCCAATCCATCTCATATCGTGCTTTCCATTTCATCTTCTGCTTACAACTCTCCCTCACAAGATTGTCTTCTCCAGGGAGCCTTGCCCTCTCATGAATTGTCTGCAGACACAAATAGAGGAGGGGAGAGAAGGAGACAATGCTTCCATGAAGGCTGGAAGAATACTATGGGTGGCAACTTGGCTGGCCTTCAACAGGGATCACCTATCTCAAGGAAACCTCTCTCATGTGCCACTGGTGGCTCTGTTAGCCAGACATACTCAAGGAAAACTGTCCTCACAGAAGTGCCTGTAGATGGTTTCAAGGTTTACTCTCATAAGCAGCAAACAGCCAGGTCAGAAACATCTAGAGGGACCAGGTGGGAATGGTGGGCTTTTGAAAAAGGGTATCTTCTGCCCATCTGCAAAATGCTAAGTGTAAAAGAAAGATGATCAAGGAAGTTGTCTCAGCTGAAAAACCCGAGTGCAGAAAAATGCACATTTGCTTCTGTATATGGAAGATTAGAACTCAGAGCAAAGATGGCTAAAATATTGAACAGCCTTTCACCCCAGGGACCCCTAGGACATGGGATATAAATACAATGAATGGATGGATGGATGGATGAAATTAGCATGTTGCCTTCTTTGTCATTCCAGTTCCACCATTTCTTAAGAGGTATCAGACAATCTAACACTTCCATTGCTGGGCTCCATATGGACAAACATGGACGGCTTGAAATCCAGTATGATATTGTGAACTGGGTGCTGTTTCCCAATCATACCTTTGGAATTCTGCCCATTGGGAGTTGGACAAGAGAGGCATTTCCAGGGAAAGAACTCAGCATCAACACAGAAGAAATTGTGTGGCCAAAGCATTTTAAGAAGGTAGGGAAAATCATTTCTGTCTTATTATTGGCCTGTCCTATTAATAGTATATATCTAACAATCTTTGGGGTATGGCATACAAGGCATCCACTGTCATTCAATGCACACTTTTCAATGGAAAGAAGTCCCAATTGACTTAAGGGGTCTTCCCGCTATGTAATCACAGGCAGGATGGCCTTGCAAAGGAAAACTTCTCTGTGGAGCAGGGGCTGGAGAGAACTCCAGTTCCCTAAGCCTTCATGTTAGGTGATTGTTACTCCGGTTTCCCCCTTCATGGATCACTGCCTTGTTGTGGTGAATAGGCTTGAGTAGCTCAATGAAGCTTTGAGCTATGCCATGTAGGGGCACCGAAGTTGAACAGGTCATAGCAGACAGCTCTGAAATAAAGTGATCCAATGGAGAAGGAAATGACAACCCATACCAGTACCCATGCCATGAAAACCCCATGGACAGTAGCAAAAGGCAAAAAGATATGACACTGGAAGATAAATCCCTCAGGTCAGAAGGTGTCCAATGTGCTACTGGGGAAGA